TGATTTTGAACACCCTATATCTCTGTAATCATTCCTGCTAGACCCCAAGTGTGATACATCAGGAAGACTCTAAAAATGCCAGAAAATACAGGGTCCTCCATTTAAAATAACGAAGTTGCTAGTTGTTTCCGATAGAAGTGGCAACACTGTATCAATGAAACTATTTTAGACGGATAGAAAATGTTCAATTATCAAAGCATCAACATTTTCAGAATATTCTGTCTTTTCGTTCTCCAGATACTTCTAATAGGCCATCCACACCGTATAGTCTCAGAGGGTGTGTGTACGTTTCCGCATTTTTATCAAAGAAGGCTATGGAATAAATCAATCTATGGAGTTATTTTAATACATTCTTGAAGATGAAAATTCAAGAATTACATTCCCGAACATTGAAATTGCACTGGAGAATGCCCACTTTCAAAATAGGAAATTATTAAAAATAGGCTCCGAACTCCGATGGGACAAAACTGTCTTCCAGATAATTCTTGTTTTTGACAATATTTCTACTGGGTGTTTCTTAATTACGCGTAAAAATTACAGGAGCATGTTGATGACGTCAAAATAAGAAAAAAAGTTCGTATAAACATAAATGTTCGCAAGTTATTCAATTCTGAGATACAAAATGTCAAAGTTTGATTCTTTTTCCTGTTTTTTGTGAGTAAATTGAAAAATGACCATGATATTCGAGTGGAATTTGGTATCTCACCCGAATATCATGATTATTTCAGAATTAATTCACAAAAAACCGAAATAACAATCAAAATTCCATATTATGTATCTCTGAATGAATAATTTGCGGACATTATGTTCATGAAAATTCTTCTTATTTTAACGTCAGCAACATACTCCTGAATTTTTTACACGTACTTAAGAAACATCCTGTATATATAAAATAATTGAGTTGGTTTCGCAAAAAATTATTGACCGAAAAATTTGTTAATATTATATGGAAAACAATTAGAAGCCAGGTCACCCTGGCATAATTTTGTTACTGACAGACAAACGTATACGTCATCTTATAAAAAGGATGGATATTTTCATTTATATAATGAAGAATCTCGATTTTCTCAACAGAAGAATTTCATCAAAATATTGTTTATGAATGAAAGGCCATTTTAATTATTTTGGAGGAAAATATGCGGTACAGAAGAAAAATTTGAACAATAAAAATCTATCACCAATAGGGTTTATTTTTATTTCAAAATACAAATTCAACAATAGATAAAGGTAATGATAATAATCATAATAATAATAATACCACTTTTACCACTATCAAATAATACATAAAAAATCTCCATTCATATTGACTCAGGTTCATTACAGAGCGGCCCATAAGATTGATTCAAAATTCATGCAAATAATTTTGAAACATACAGGGTGAACTGAAACTGTAACTCAATTTAATGAAAAATTGAAAAAGATGTGGGGTAGGCCGTTAAAAAATACGTCATTTTGCAATTGATTCAGAGCGGGTAAATTGAATCACCCTGTATATGAAAGTAAAAAAAATATTATTCTAAACATGAGAACAGAAATATAACATACACAGGGTGAACTGATAGAAACCTAAATTTCATGAAGAATTCAAAAAGTTAAGTAGTAGACGTTTCTGGATTATTTTAAACTTTGAATTTTAAAATGATTATATCCGTTACTTATGGACCCCCTATTACAATTCAATATTGGAATGGTCATCACAAACGAATGAATTGTAACAAAAAAAATGGAAACATATCTTCCCCAACAAAATTATATAAATGTCGATTAATTATTGTGATTCTGTGTCACATCATTCAGTGAAATCTTTTGATGCTGGTGAAAATTTATTCAGTCACAAAGTGTTTTCAGTTACAAACATACAGAGTGAATATGAAATTCTTGAAAATTATTTCGAAATTTTTGAATTAAGCTACTTACTAGATTTTTCCAAGTTTTCGCCGAATTTTTCTTCAAGAAAAATACAAAGAAAATTGATTTGATTGTTTCCCGTGAGTTAAAGCACTTCTGAAAATTATAATTTCTGATAAAATATTCGATTGATCGAGCAATTAATTCACATTCGAGTAATTACATAGCTCAATCCATCATTTCAAAAATAATTATACAGGGTGTCCCTAAAAAGTCTGTACAAAAGCTTAGCACATATTCCTGCGATCAAAATAAGCCGATTCAAAGCAACTTACCACAGTCCGAAATTGATCCGTTTCCGAGATACAAGGTGGTGAAGATAAAGAATAAAAATGAACAAGTACAGTGTGTCCAGTTGTCAATGCTTTTGCATGATACCTCAGTTATCTTTGGAGATAGAACCTTGCGGTTTTCGCGGTTCTGTGCCACTTTTTTGTGAAATTCAAGATAACCTATCAAGATTTTGCATAACGGTTTCCGTTTATGAAATACAGGGCGATTTTGAAAATTTACACTTTTTGGACCGCCTCTATATCTACGAAGTTTTTTGAATCGGCTTATTTTGACCTCAGGAATATGTGCTGAGATTTTGTACAGACCTTTCAGGGACACCCTGTATATATAAATATTGCATATAAAAAATAACGTCCATTATGAAATGATAAAATTGTTTCAAGTTATTTAGATACATTACAAATAAAATATGTGTTCAGAAGCAATTCTTGTAAAATTAGATCAATATATGTTATTTTCAACATAACATTTTGATTAAATCTTGAACTTGAAACGAAATCACCCTGTATGTTTATTGAGAATTGCGTATCTGACACGATAGTTTGCACATTATGCCATTTGATAACATTTAATTTAATTAAAAGGAAAATTAGTACAGAATGTGTTCACAGATAGTATTGTCCAAGTATTAAAAAAATATATATAAAAATAGGTCATATACCGAGCATTCTTAGGTTGGCAACAATTTGCATCATGCATTATTGTCAAATGTCATAACTTCAATATTGGAATTGTTTAATTAAAACATATAAATGAGAAAATTACATATTAATAAAAAACCAGAAGACTTTGAATTTTCCGGTATCATTGATAGTAATAGCAGTTGACAATAATGACGATAATGACAGATTGTTGCCAACCTGAGAAGAATCAAAAATATGCATCCCATAGCAATTGCATATGGACGATATTGAGCCTTCCTAAATGATTAACAACTATGAAAAATATTATAATGCTACCTGAACAGAAGCAGTATTAAATAATAATTTGTATGCAATTGCAAAATGATTGGCTCATATATTTTGATATGATTTGCAAAACTCTTTTTTTGGGAATGACTAACTTGATAGTGTAGCAAGATGAGATAGTTAGAGAAAATGGTGAGAAATAAGTGCCATTTCCCGACAATTCCAAATTACTATTGTGAACACACTATTCAAAAAACATACACCAACTTATCCTATCAACTCACCTGATATACAACCTGGAAAAGCCTATATAAATATAATTAGTTTCCTAACTCATCAAAGTGAGAAAGAAAGATGAAGATGCTTCTTTCAGCAACAACATAACCAAAACGTCTTTATTGCTTTGAATAAAGAAAAAAACTCTATCTTCCTCTCTCGCTCAGAGTTGAGATTCTTGCAACTATGGTGTATTTTCTATTCAAATGTTATTAACCAGCTATGAGATACTTCGAGATTTTGTATGTAGGCACAACGGTTAGGCCTTTATTTGATTAAAGCAACAAACACTTTGATCACAGATTCCTTCGCGAATTGTTGAGGGTACCGTTTTCTATTTTTTTCTGTGAAGCACGAGAAAGGAAATTCCTATAATGTTCGGATATAGGAAACAACCCAACCATTTACTTTCAATTAGTTACATAAAATGTCGAAAACAGGCCATCATCAAGTTTTATAGCGCTTTTAGTTCTTGTGCCTTGCTCTTATTTCCCCCTCTCATACTTTTTCTCGGCACTATCTAGTAGTTCTACACGTTACTGCCCACAATACATTTGAAGTTTTGGCCCATGGGGACCCAAACACGAAACTTAATGTAAATCGATTATTTGGTTGTACTCATGTGATTTATGTATGATACTTATCATAGAAATAGAAATGATCGAAGAAAAAGGGATTTGAAAATGAAACCCAACGTTTGGGTTTTGAGAGCCTGAAGATAGAGATACCAGACCACGAAACCCATATGAGGGTTTCATGCAAAACAAGGCCTCGTCATGCGCAGTCAAGGTTATTATTGTTTACACTTGATGAATAGCAGGAAGAAGGGAGAAAAGTAGCTCAACTGAGAGCGCCAAAATCAAGATACAAATGTCAACAGTGTGAGCGTTTTTTAGTTTGCCATGTTTTATTAAAGGATACAAAGCGTCCAAATTGTCTATCATAAAGCATATTTTATTATATGTATTTGTATGTGTGTTCATTTGTCAAATACTTGAATAAATCAACTTTTTGATACTATAATTTTCTTACTTCCATATCCGCAAAATAAAAACAAGTATATGCTTCAATGCTTTCTGAAACCCACTCGTCGAATTTCATCGAATGACGTGCAAATGTATCGTAAGACCCAGAGTTAGGGTTTCGGAGCCGATTTACGTTTGGGCTAGGTGGCAGTTAACGTGTTTTAATACTACACTCAGCAGCAAAAGAAACCGACCAGCAAACAATTTAGCCAAATTGATCTCCCGGAACAGCCTTATAAAATCTGTAATTTTCAATTGTTGCTTCTCAGAATTGTCTGAAATATTAATAAACAATGGTAATGGTGTTGCCAATTGAAATTTTCCAATGAAATTTTGCACTCAACCGAATTGAAGGAAGCTGAATCCAGTGGTGGCTATTGATAAATCGCAATTTAAATAACATAGTATGCCCTGAAAATTGGAATTATATTTTGCAAATTTCTGTAAACATATATCTTCGGATACTGAAAATTGGAATTATATTTTGCAAATTTCTGTAAACGTATATCTTCGGATACTCTTTCTGCTGAAACAATAAGAAAAGGAAACAAAAATAAAGGGATACATAAGTATTCATACTCTTCAATTGTTACATATCTTCTTGCTGGGTAATAGCGACCGATTGGTTTTTAATTTTTGTTATTTTTTCAAAGGTTCGTTGTTTCATCCGACCAATCTGATAATCCGAATTGGTGTGGTTTTGATTGCTTCGCGACACTAAGGTAACTTTAACCGTTTCTTTATAAACAATCCAAGAATACACCAAAGTTACGAGAACCTCCCTTCCTAAAACACATCCAACTTCCCCCCCCCCCCTCCCGTGTTTATGTTTACTGCTGCTGACCCGGCACCACTTGCGCAGGCGCCAAACGGCACGTGAACGCCACACCAGCCAACAGCGCCCTCTTGACCACGGCGGGCACGCTCGGCTTGGCGGCCGTGTTCTCGCAGAGGATGCGCAGCTCGCGGAACATGTTGCGCGTGTAGGGGTTGCGCCGGGACGCGTAGCGCTGCGTCAGGAACTGGTAGTAGATGAACGGCGTCAGCAGGCTGGCTCTGCCCCTAAAGAGGTCGGATCGTATGAATAGCGCTCGCATCGATGATAAAAATATTGTTATTCCACTTAAGACTAAAGTGGGTAGTGAGGTTGACCATTTTCATCGGTGGCTCTATGAATTCTCGCGCTTACAGGACGTCACTGATGTCTGCGAGATGCAATTCTTTCTTCGGGATTAAATACATAAGAGATAAGGTTTTTATCGATAAATACATGTTTACTTATATCAAAAAAATATCAGGATAACGCAATATGGCATCAGAACAATTTCTGTGAAAGCCACTGTTCTTAGTATTTTCAAATATTGGAATTCAACCAACGAAATCAGCAGCCATACACCCCCCCAAGAATTGTATCCAAGTGTCTGAAAAGAGGTGTAAACAACAATATTATACATGGTGCTCTCGAACAGGATGTGCAGCGCGCAGAACATGTTGGGCGTGTAGGGGTTGCGCCGGGACGCGTAGCGCTGCGTCAGGAATTGGTAGTAGAACGGCGTCAGCTGGCTAGCTCTGCCCCTAAAGGGGTCGGATCGTATGAATAGCGCTTGCATCGATGAAGAAAATATGATTTTTCCACTTAAGAGTAAAGTGGGTAGTGAGGTTGACCATCTCCATCGATAGCTCTATGAATTCTCGCGCTTGAATTACTTCACTGATATCTGCGAGATGCAATTCTTTCTTAGGGCATAAATACATAAGTAATAAGGTTTTTATCGATAAATACTTGTATGAAAAAAATATCAGGATAGCGCAATATGGCATCAGAACAATTTATGTGAAGGCCAGTGCTCTTAGTATATTCAAAGACTGGAATTCAACCAATGAAATCAGCAGCCTTACATCCCACCAAGAATTTTATCCAAGTGTCTGAAAAGAGATGCCAACAACAATATTCGACATGGTGTTCTCGCATAGGATAGGCAGCTCGCGAAACAGGCTGGCTCTGCCCCTGAAAAGGTCGGATCGTATGGATAGCGCATGCATCGATCATAGATTAAACAAACAATAGATAGGCAATGTATATGGGCCGATTTCTGCACGTGCGAATTTGTCGCCATCTGCATATTAGTAGACACACTACGCGTCTTTGAGGAAAAATCACAGTTTCCTATAACCATTAGGAGACAGCTAGTGAACATGAATGAATTAGGATAGCCAATGAAAACATTTTCAACTCCATTGATGAATGGTAGACAGGGGCGTGCTGCATCGACACACGAAAATTGCACACGAGCGGCAGTAGCGGCACACACATAAGGGCAGGAAACCTATGATTAAAATATTATATCTTTAAACGAGCAATACTTGTATAATGTGAATCTCGGAAACCGTTCCAACAATTTTCATGAAATTTTTATGAATTTCGTATACATGGGGTTTCGAGGGCGATAAATCGATCTAGCTAGCATTCATTTTCGGAAAATGTATATACCGGGTGTAACAAGATCATAGCACGCCAAACCATTTACGACTCCAACGATTTTCATGAAATTCCGTATACAGAGGGTTTCGAGGGCGATAAATCGATCTAGCTAGGATTCATTTTTACACTCTTTATGAAGTTTACATAACGTTAACTGATCAACTATGAATTCCATAATTATGTTCTCTGCATTCAACTTCGTTATGAAAGATGGGACACTTTTTCGACAGCTTTCTGAAAATTTTATTCTTGATGAATAGTTTTGTTCTATTTATATATGGTTTCTTGAGGAATGTTTTTGAAAAAGAAGTTGAAGCTACATCAACCATAGTCTTGAATTCGTCAGTGGGGTATTTTAGATGTTGTATGTTCTTACTATAATCTTTATTGATTATCAATAATTGTTTTTCGTCATTCATTATATTGTCGAAATCGTTAACTATCAAATTATTTGCACAAGGATTACATTTGAATTTATCGATAAATTTTTTGCCAAGTATATCCTGCAAAATAAGCATTCGAACAATCTTCCAGGGTTACAGGTGAATATTTATTTTCGAGTTTATTTTCCTCATTTGAAGAAGACGAGGATGATGGAATCACTTGATTTTCGAGTAAATTCTCTGTAGGAGGATTGTCAAGATTTTCCTCGACATTTTCATTCACATGACTAGTAGATGGAACTGTCATCAAATTAATATCATCATCTTCTTCACAATTACTTAAATCTGATGACTTCATTAAGTTCATTTTTGCCATGATACGAAAGGTACACCTGAAAGTTCTAACCGTTGGGTTTGGATTGAATCCGCCTCTTTGCCTTACACTTGAAAAAGTATTTTCAATAACATCTTGATTTAATCTGTTGTTAATAAATAAGTGAATCCTAATTCTTTTTGTTCATTATAAATTCCCAATATTGAAGACAAAGTGATCAATATTCCATCAAGACAGTCAGGTCTAGAATATCCAGTTGTAGTAACTTTCTTAATTTCTATCAATGTATCTCTTGCAGAAATGATCGTATTTTCGACTATATATAGGGCGTTCATCGGACATTGCGCAACTATATGGATTCTTGGAATACAACTGCTTACTGTTCAAACAATCGAACAAATTATTCATCATCTGGAAGAAATCTGCTGTAGCAAGAGCAGTATCACTTTCTAATTGTTTGGTTTCATGACAAGTTCTAATAGCTGCGGCAATAGAATTGCTGAAAATTTGGAGTGCCAACCGACAATTCATTTTTTCGAATGCTGATGGATTCATGTGGGCAGGAGTGATCTTGAGTAAAGTCCTTCCTGTTGTACTACATGTGTCAATATTATATGTCTTCCTCACATCATCAAACGATACTCTCCTATTCATCCAGATAAAGTCATGGTGCAATAAATTATTTCTAAAGTTCTTGAACAAATGGAGCGGATCAAAAATACAATATATTCTTCGGCCTTCGATTTCAAAATATGGTTTTTCAATGGAGACATGTAAATTCCTCATTGCTGCCTGGTTGTTTGTTCCCTGGTCACACACTACTGCCTTGACAATAAGGCCAGTATTTGTCACCTGTTGAATGGCTTTGATGATAACTTCTTTCAGGATGGTATGTTTCATAGCACTACCACAGACAAAATATCCTAATGGAATCTTCCACTTGGAATATAGTCCTCTGGCCAAAAGTACCATCACTTGTGTCCCCGTCGTCTTAGATCTACCACCTATTATTCCTAGGTCTTCGAATCCTTCAATTGTGTCCAATAACTTTGAATATTCAAATTTTCTTTTGATTTTCATTTCATCAAATTAAATACAAAATTTAATACCTTTTTAATGGAAAGTAAATTGCTTCCCAGCCACGATCTCTCTTTTCGTAGAAAGGAGTAATCAAAAATCATGATGGTATTTAAATAATATCTATGAATATGTTGGGTTGAAATATTCATCACTTGTGTATTTTTTCCTCCCTCAAGTTATTTCAATGTTACAATTTTATTTTACTGGCCCACTCTTGAAATATTCTGAACTGACCACGAAGAGTCCGAATTTACTTTTTCTTGAGATCGATAATTGACGTACTATTGATCCACCCTGTATAATAGAAAAATGGAAAAACCTATTGATGACTGAATTGCTCAAATTTTAGAGATTTAAAAAGTGTAGATTCTGGCTGGCTGTCACTGTTGGAATTCTCTAAATTCAATATCCCACTTGACTCGCCCTGTATATTCGATAATAGTTTTCAGTTATAGATTATTTGATAAAGTTTCATAACGATATCAAATGTTATTTATAGCTATTGATGTATGCTATTATATAGAACCCGAACTCAAGCAATCGAGGTGGACGTATATATATACAGGGTGGTCCAGGTTAAACGTCATTAAATTTGATAGGCGACAGAAAAACGGGAAAGAAGTAGACTTTCATGATAAAACTTTGGTTGAAAATGCTTCCTAACAGAGATACAGGGTTTCAGAGTTTAGACACCTCGATTGAGTTCTCGGCGGCCGCGTTAAGTTTGGAATCATCAAAATCAACAGTGTAATGTGTACCTACTTCATTAACATTATTGAAAACCATACTAGTACAGCCTGTACAAAACCTCGAAAATTTTAGCCTTTTTGATGCAACCCTCTAAATTCGAATAAGTATCTTGAAAACGAAGCCATAAATCAAACATTTGCAAAGGTATTTTTTTTCTCTAAATTGAACAAGAAATCCAAAAATGTAATCTTTTTGTAAAATATTTAGTGAAACCGAAGATCAGAGTTGATCAGATTCTGTCGATTCTGAAGATTTGAGAAGGTGTAGATCTCGGTGTAGATTTAGTTATCTCTTGAGTTCATCGGAATCTCTTCAACTCACCCTGTATATTTATGTCATGATTTGAAATTACAGATTATATCAATCATTGTAGGTATCAATGTTTTTGAATAAGATACCTGCCGTCAACGAACTCAAGCGATCAAAAAGGCGTACGCATATTGACCCACCCTATATCATAGAATAACCCATTGACAAACCATAATTATGTTATTCAGATTCTCGATATTTTGAAATTTTAAAAATGTTCGATCTACAATTTTACTCACTCTGTATATTCGATAAGTTCCAGCTATTTAGATATTTCAATTCATTTTTAATCTATGTTTAAAGTATACGTTTCAAAATCAAGTTTCAATTCATCTTGACCTACCCCGTAAAAAAAACAGTGAAGACTTCCTGAGATTTAAGTTTGTTCAGGTGCATGCCTATACACGCGCGTGAATAAAAATAACCATCGAAGGAACCATATCTACCTCATACACAGTTTAAGGAATGAGTATACAAGTTATTTTCCTACCTGTTAAGACCCTTTCATGTTGTGAGCCATAAATCATGATCCTTATCTTGATGCCACGCCCAAATACTATTATTCTTTCACAATTTTACTACGAGTCGATCGATAAAAGAGATAGAGCGCCATCTGACATTTGACGATAATACTAATGTGAATTTGGCGTACAATTTATGAGCGTTACCAATTTGTACAGGGATTGTCTATCTATTGTTTGTTTAATCTATGCATCGATGATGAAAATATGATTATTCCACTTAAGAGTGAAGTGGGTAGTGAGGTTGACCATTTCTATCGATAGCTCTATGAATTCTCGTGCTTGAATTACGTCACTGATATCTGCGAGATGCAATTGTTTCTTCGGGCGTAAATATATAAGAGATAAGATTTTTATCGATGAATACATGTTCAATTGTATGAAGTAATATCAGGATAACGCAATATGGCATCAGAACATTTTCTGTGAAGGCCACTGCTCTTAGTATTGTCAGACTGGAATTCAACCAATGAATTCAACAGCCTTACACCCCACCAAGCATTTTGTCCGAGTGTCTGAAAAGAGGTGTCGACAATATTATACATGGTGTTCTCGTATGGGATGCGCAGCTAACGGAACATGTTGCGGGTGTAGGAGTTGCGCCGGGACGCGTAGCGCTGTGTCAGGAACAGGTACTAGATGAACGGCGTCAGCAGGCTGGCTCTGCCTCTAAAGATGTCGGATCGTATGAATAGCGCTCGCATCGATGAGAGAATACGATTATTTTGCATTCCAATTGATAGTTAAGGGGGTAGGGGGGTTGACCATTTCCATCGATGGCTCTATGAATTCTTGCGCTAAATTACGTCACCGATATCTGCGAGATGCAATTCTTTCTTCGTGCGTAAAAATATAAGAGATATGGATTTTATCGATAAAGACATGTTTATTCGTATGAAAGAAATATTAGGATAACGCAATATGGCATCAAAACAATTTCTGTGAAGGCCACTTTTATTAGTATATTGAAAGACTGGAATTCAACCAATGAAATCAGCAGCCTTACACCCCACCAAGAATTTTGTCCGAGTGTGAATAAAGAATTCGGATCGTGTGAATAGCGCTTGCATCGATGATAAAAATATGATTATTTTACATTCCACTCAAGAGTAAAATGGGTAGTGAGGTTGACTATTTCCATCGGTGGCTCTATGAATTCTCGCGCTTACATCACCTCAACGATACAAGCGAGATGCAGTTATTTCTTCGGGGGTGAATACATGAGAAATAATGTTTTTATCGATAAATTCGCGGTAGCCAAGTCATCATCTGAGGTTGCGATTACATGAAAACTACGGGAAAACATTTCTAACTCCCGGCTCAGATTGAAAGTTAGACATGTTTTCCCGTAGTTTTTATGTCATCGCAACGTCAACATTTTCAGACAATGTCAGTCAAAAATTCCAAAATATTGATAGCCCTAGATGCTGTGGCATGTTTCATCGAAAATATTTTCGGGAAAAATTATGTAGAATATTTGATAAAATAGAAAACCTCAAGTTATGGAAAGACTTGTGCAGACTTACGTTTTTTTACTCTCAATGTTGAACTTAACGACCAATCCTTACATTGACGGAGAAGAAGATATCGTACAAAGAGGCCAAATGACACGAGAAGAAGTATATTTATCAGTTCCACCAACTCTGACCTCACATTTTAGTAGCGCGATCCAGTGGACAATAAATAATGTAAGCCCTCATTGTATGAAAGTTATATTGTTATGACAAACAATCGAGAAATCAATAAAACATTTCTCGAATGTATGTTAGGGAGATTAATACACAACTAAAGTATAAAGACAATTTGGTTTGGAAAAGAAACGACGTTGTGTTAAGAAAACTCGATAAATATTCGAAGGTAGTGACTGTGATAGTTATTGTCAAAGTTTCGAAGTTAGTTTACTGAAAGTAAGGTGCATATTTATTAGTTATTGGGAAAGCTAGATAGCTTTTAATCACTACAAATGCTTGGTGATTGCTGGGTTTTAGGAAACTGACGAAATTTTATTGGTTCTTAGGATAGGCGTGTATTAATCATAGGAAAAAAATCAAGGGAATGGTACAAAAAGCTGTGGGTCTGTGGGCATCAACTTTCTTCTCGCCAGTAATTTTCCGAAAAATATATTTTCTAGAAAGAAGATTCATTTAGGCCGACCTAGTTCGATTGTTTGGAAACAGTAGTCTCATTTCTCATGCAGAAAGGATATTTTCCTACCTTATATTACGTTATTCCCTCTTTGGAATTCAGAGAGCTTCCGCTGGAAATGGTATAACCTGGCGAGTTTACACTAGCCATATTATTATTCATGATCAACAATGGAAGTAGTTAGTTTTTCAGTCATATGTTTTATCTAAAATTGAATCGAAAGTTGGATTTACTGACTGTGATGGGATTATTTAACGAACATACATTCCAGTTGAGAATTAAGTGGTTATTGAGATAGGGATTGTTTGACCTCGTGATTCAATGGTTTAGGCGAGTTTACACTAGCGATATTTCATTCATGATCAACAATGAAAGTAGTTAATTTATTGGTCGGCGCTTGATTGTAAATCGTCGAAAAATTACAATAATCGCAGGGCACGGATTAGTTATTCATTGACATCTGGTCGCTTCCATAGTCAGCCGTTACTAGTCGGCAATAACACCCTGAGCCTACTTGGAGTCACTGAACTATACACAGGGCTGAACAGAATAGGTCTATAACTATCAATATTTATTAGCTTTCATACAAAACTTATACTCTGATCTGTTTGATCAATCTCATGTTTGTGTCATGATTGTGATTACTGCACATGATTTTTCCAAACTACCATATTCTTCACATGCATTAGAATCTAAACTCAATGGGCCTCCTAGTTTTACTTACACATTTATTAAAAAGTAAATCTAGATTTAAAAAACGTCTCAAGATAAACACATTTTTTGAACAATTCTCAAAAATGTGAATGTTTTTGTCTGTTTTTTTTATGACTAGTTTTATGTTTTATGACTGAAAAGGTAGAATAAAAAACTGTTCAATACTTACAAAAATATCAGGATAATGCAATATGGCATCAAAAGAATTTCTGTGAAGGCCACTGCTCTAAGTATATTCAAGGACTGGAATTCAACTAATGAAATCAGCAGCCTTGCACCCCACCAAGAATTTTGTCCAAGTGTCTGAAAAAAGGAGTCAACAACAAAATTATACATGGTGTTTAAATTTTAATCTGCCAGATATCAATAGTTAATAGTACTCTTTTTCATTGAACATAAAAATTACAAGACCTAGCAGTTGCCAGTTGATCATATAAACGATAGCCATTGTTGTCATTTTACAGATCATTTTAAATGAAGGGGTTTTTTTATGCTATGCAGCAAAGCTTGAGTATTTATATTGTCAATATTTCAAAAGGATGCATTTAGGGTCTAGTTGTAGTCATCACATATTAATGTGCATTTTTCAAGACAAATGCTACATGGGAACAATGTCACCGTTCAAGGACACTTGGAGCACACCGAGGAGCACACCAAAGGAAATCCCTATAATGTTCGACGAACGTGTGTATACCTATTAGATATAATTATAAATTACTTGTTGGCAGCTAGCAATAACCCCATGAAATATTGACATTTTCGAAAATCAACCAATACTTCTAGAAAAAAAAAATGTTTTATATATTTTTGAGAAGCTAAGTGATGAAATGGTATTGAATCTGAGAAAACAAGTGCATGTCACATGCAAAAGTTAATATTTTGAAAAAACCTATAGTGCCATTGTTTATTTTTAGCCAAAAATCGAAGTCATTTGTTTTAACCTATTACTCATAGTTTAGAGGAAAGCCAATCATACCATTGATGACTTTGAATAATAAATGAGCTTGATATAACCCTTAATTTCACCGAATCAAATAAAAAATCCTGGAATATCATGAATGACCTAGTTCAAAACTCCAATTATCTACTAGTGTAATTATGGCAGAAATACTTACATCCAATAATGTTAATGAGTAGCTTGCAGAGTGAAGAGTGCAAAACAGCACAATAGGTACAACAACCACTATGTAAATATTAAGAAAAATATGTTTAGGCACTTCCTAGCCATGGAAATTAATAATTCCAAAAACCAAATCTTGAGGAAATTACGATCTTTTATAACATCTTTTATAACATTTCTGAGCATGCTATAGACAATGTTCAGTTTACTTTTCAATCACTGCTTCAAGACATCCTCAAGTGATTTCTGGAAATTCAGAAAAATGTCACTAAAACCTGAGTTGAAACCCATGAAACATTAACGAAATTCCTTTGATTATATTATGAATTAATCAATTTTTCAATAATGGCAAAGCAAAATTGACGTTTAAACACTAATACTGATTTTATGATCTCTCATGTGTATGATTTGATTCATAGTATAAACAGGGTGTTTCATATTATATGCGCAGGACTTTAGGATGAGATAGCTTGTCCAAAAATATGGAAAAAAGTTTGCATCAACTTACCCTTCAAATGCACTATTTTCGAGATACAGGGTGTTTAAATTTGTAAAAAAAAATGTTTTTTGCAAAAATCTCTGGAACCATTCATGTCACAGAAAAAAGCTTTTGTACACATTTGCTACCTATAATAAGCTATGTTTAGTGCCGGAATATATATATTTTCAGTCATAATAGGTGAAGATTTCAATTAATCACACAGAAAAAAGTTTTGTACGCATTTTCTAATTATAATAAGCTATGTTTAGTGCTGGAATATAAATTTTTTAATCATAATAGGTGAAGATTTGAGTGTTGTCTCCCCAACTTCTACGCCACTGGACTAAAGCTTACCTTTTTCCAGAAAAATATTTTTTTATATTGAAAACCAAGGTCATCACCCTGTAACTTGAAAATGGTGCATTTCAGAAGGTAAGTTGATAGGAACTTTTATCCATATTTTTGGACGAGCTATCTCAGCCTAAAGTCCAGTGTATATATTATGTAACACCCTGTATATGAGATTATATTTGCTGTGATTACTAATCAAGTAGTCTGTAGGTTTAATCAGCATTGACCATTCTAGAATACCTGATTTTGACAGGGTTACTTGGAAGGTACAGAAACTATCTGTTGGGATACCTTTGATGAGCATAGCTCTGCCCACATCCAGAATACAATAGAAGATTCACCAAACAAAATCATAAAATCCATTTGGGTTCCAAGGAAAATGATCCAACTACTTCTGATTCCAAATGAGTTGATTTCATGAAATGATTTCAAATGACAAAATACAATGTTTACCCTCCAACACCATGTCAAATGATGTTATTCTGGAATGATTAATGGACAAAATTCAACCTAACCTCAATTATATGTTAATACCAATGTTTATATAATCTTATTGAACTGATTTGAAATACCTGCCATTTAAGTGAACTCAAAGTTCGGAAGTCCTCTAAATATCTCTCATATGTCACAATCCAGTTTGTGAGCAAACAAAAACAAATGAATTTCAAACTGTCTAGCTGATGAAATTCAGCCTAACCCAAATTATATGTTAATACCAAGGTGAATACCATCTAATTGAACTAATTTGGTATAACTGCCATTTGGGTGGACTCAAAATCCTGATGTCCTCTAATATCTCTCATAATATATCACAACCCAGTTTATGAGAAAATGAAAACAAATGAATTTCAAATTGTCTTGCTCATTATCAAATTTTTGATAAAATCAGTAAAAATTTTGAGAATGAGGAGCTAGTTAAATGAATCAATTGAAATTGTAATCCTGTTTATCACATTGTATAATAGTGAATTATGGGTTTTTAATGACCACCAATAAATGGCAGGAATTTATGTTTTGAAATCTAGCAGGAATAGAAAATAAAAAAAAACTTTTTTTTTTCATTGTGATGAATGTCATTAATTTTTCTAGAATTTTGGTTTCTGCCTGTTGCTTGTTTCAAGCAGTTAGTTCAGGAAGATTGATATCTTCTATCAAGCAAATATTACACTACACTGTTTTACCACTAACCAAACCGATTTTTTTTTTTTTTTTTTTTAACGCCTCGACACGTGTTTCGCTAACTATGTTAGCATCTTCAGGAGAAGATTAAAACTGAGCAAATATTAGTTATTGGTCTTCATGAAAGGATACAACTGAGTGGAGCAACATAAAGGAAAATCAAGGAATAGAAAAGATAGTGGCAACTATCTTCAGTCAGCAGTTGTGCAAGGAATTCTCTGGTAAAAGTCACTCTTCCCAATCTTTGATGCAAACGCAATGCACTAATAGCTGCATTTGCAATGAGAACTTTGTAGTAAGCACTTTGGGCATTCCTGAAAGAAAAAACTCAATGTTCCTGTATATATTACTTAAGTATATGTAGGATATCATTTTATATTAGATATTATATTAAATTCATTTTATTCAGTTATATTATAAATTTGATCAACAAAATCTTAGCTGAATAATTTGAGGAGGATACAGAACATTATCCAAATCTTTTTCAGCTGACCAATACTGAATTTGCTATGAAGATAATATGCATATGCATAGATTTTGCAGTTGGTTCAGCTTGGTATCAAGTATAGGTTGAATCTCAGGTTGAATGAATACTACAATAATTACTAGGGTAATTATATATTTACAGATTTGAATAACCTTCATCCTCACGACTGTGATTGTGGAATGGGTACAATACAACTTGTATAATTTATCAGTTCATTATGTATAATGAACCAAGGAAAATAATAACTGATAATAATTTTATTATTTAGCAGATTAAGCATCTAGAAATGTGTTGAACCTTGATCAGATCAGTGGAAATTATAGGATATTCCCCAGGATATTTCACATGGAAGTGATATTCAATTGGCAATTTTCTGCAGCAAAACATTTCAACCAAGATGGCAACAAGAAATTAGGTACCTATATGAGTAGGTATGAAAGTGACATATTCACTAGTTCTGCCACTGGCTGATCCAAAACATATTGTTGATTGAGATTCAAGTTTGATGCATACTCAACCTACCATAAGTACCATACCTACTTATCAATTATTATACATTTAGCTATTTAAAACCTGATATTTTACTGAAAATGTATATTATAATTTGGCATTAATAATTTTATTTTGGGACTTCATTTATAATTAACTAGGTAAAAGCTTATTTAGGTATTATTATTTTACCAATAACTGTGTGAAGAAAGCAGAAAAAAACTGGTTTTGTATGACCTAATTTCAAAATATATGAATCTAGAATGTACAAATCTATCACTTACCCAAAAATAGGAATAAAATATCCTATGGCAAACAAAATAGCCAATATTCTGATAGCCCATAGGCCACAATCTATTTTATGAGTTAGGACATGTAATTTGAGTGCTTCGAAATTCAAGCCCCTAGAAGGTCTAGGCTCACCAGTTGAAGTTTGTGCATCACCAGAATCTCCCATGTTGTTAGTGATAAAATAAACACTTTAATTAGTGGTTTATTTGAAAAACACGTAGTGAATTTTAGCAGCGACCTTTTCCTTAACTTCAGATCCAAAGTTCAGATCAGAGGAAACTAATTTAATACATCAACAAAGAATTCCAGTGAAATGCTCAGTTTTGAACAAACATTAATTAACTATGTCCTTATAAGTATTCGAAAGATTGAAGAACATATACAAATATATATCAAAATACTAAACACCTCACCAAAAACCAAAATTATACCAATTATACTATTTTCAGTTTTCTCTTCACAATTATTGACAATAATGACAGTTGACTTGTATTAATTAACTACAAGTCAATTCTGAGTTCTGACGTTCTCGTAAAGCACCGAACACGGAAATAGAAAATAAGAGTGACAGTGTGCAGGACACTCTCAAGACAGGATCGTAAGTCGTATTAGTCGTAAGACTTGTAAGAGTATTCGTAAGCTGACGGCTGTTGATGTGGTATGCAGAGCAGTGATCGAGATTGATAAGCTCATTTTAATGAGAGAGTTGCGTATTATCACTTTCATGCGTGCTGAGCCAAAGTGAAGGTAAATTGGATTTGTACTTCAACTTGGTGAAGACAATATAACAAATACTTCACTGGTAATGCAATTGTACCCTAATCTGAACTTTCAGAAGTCGACAGGTCATATAACTACATATAACTACTATCAGCAGCTCAGTGGACGAGCAGCTCACGACCGTTGCGCTTACTGAAGAGACCACCCTTTTTAAATTCAGTCTCACCAGTTGGTGTTACTGAAACAGTAAAATGAGAAGTCAATATAGAAAATCTCAAAATTTCGCTAGATAGCCCTAGGGTCCCTGACGTATTTGTCATCTTAACAGGGTACGGACAGATCCACATCTCTCACTCTTAAGTGCTCTTAAGTGTTTGGGATGATAAACACTAGATTTTTCACATTTGTTGTTTTTTAGGTTATATTGAGGTCATTGGCGTATCATACGTAATTTCCATATGGAATTCCTGATTCAACTATACCAAGATAGAATAGATGAACAATCCTCTAGTTATATAGAGTTTGCCACTCCAGCATAATCTTTGCGAGGTAGGAACATGAAATTTGTACTAGAAGCTTAATATATTTCACCAAAAGAGACAGTTCTTAGACTGTATACCAGGGTTGACTGAATGAATTCTGATTTCAAGCTGAGCAGTAGTTCAACTATATGAGCTGAATGAGCTGAGCCTTATGATTGAGAAATGGTGGAAACCTCGATGTCTCGACGAAAAGTAGGCTTATAAAGAACGTGAATTTGCAGGAAAATGGAGAATAGAATATACTTTACCCCCATGTTATACATATGATTTTTCCGTCTCCCTTAAATAAAGAAGTCATTTTCAAATAATTTATTGATGAAAGTTAAAAAGAAGTAGTTATACAGTATAACTTATGGGCACGTTATTTTCAGTCTTGCATCCTACATACACTAATGTTGAAAGTGCAGATTTGAATGCCACTAGAAGTGAGATCTGGAGCCAATGCAGTTTTCGTGATATTTTCATGAGAAACTTCCTTGGAAACTTCAGTGACCCACAATTTGGATCGAAATATTTTGCTATTTTGTGAGACATTGCTGCACATACCCTTCAGCGATATTCGTAGACTTCCAAACAAGAATGTCTCCTCCAGAGTTTGCAATTTGCAAGTAAACTTGCCGAGGTTCTTCCGGTATAATTTATGACATCAGGCAGTTTTAAAAACTCTGCAATTAGATGACCGATGTCCTATGACTGAGATCCTATGACCTATGACATCTAACATCTAAGCCTATGACCGATAAACGATGACCGATGTCAGTTGATGACCGGTGACAGATGACCGATGACGTGTGACAGTGAAAAGTGAATACATATACAGTGTGTTCGAGACAAATGAATATCAGAAAAACGATATACAGAGCGACCTACAAAACCAGATCGAGGCAGAATTATATTATAGAAATGTCAAATCAATGTCAGACTATCAAATCATAATATACCAAGTATATAGCATAACTTGTCACCATAAGTATACTCTGGTCAGTTCACTTTGTGAATCTTCTGTTCGGTTCGTATGGACTGGATGGTTTTCTCCGATTGAGTGGCAAGTATCGAATACTGCTCCTCTGATCTGCAACAGAACATCACATATCAATCGAAGTACATTCATATCAGAAAATAAATATCATAAGATGAATTACATGGATGTTGAATCCGAGACATACCTGAATATTATATTCAACGTCCGTATAACTGGATTGCTACATATCCGCTTTCTTTCCGAATAGTGTGTTTTCCAGTAGGCATCTTCCACATTTTAAATTACGTACGTGGGTTATATTAAGGACCTTGAAGGCCAAACGATGTGCTGCTCGGGTCTAAAATTAAGGATCTATTTCAAATTTGAATCGTGAGACCTATACATAGAATATTGGATATTGTTATCAACATTCGTAACTGGAACGCGATATATTTTTGTAATTCAAATCAACTATCTCAATGAAGACGAGACAGGCAGATAAACAACAATTTTCTCTGCAATGAAGAACACTGTATATACCTAACCCACCATGCGTCTACCTCCTTTGCAGAGAGGGTTTATAAACGCCGAGTTGATACTCTCCCCTCGTAAGGGTACCTGTCGTGTTTCCATAGAGACATAAAGGTGAATATCTGTCTCATCTGTTTTCTTAAGAATATGGAAAGGATATCAATATATTGCCTTCCGTACGAATATAATGATCTGAATTCTGTAAAGTATACTGTGGTCAGGTCTCTTTGCGGATCATCTGTTCGGTTCGCCTTGACTGGGTGGTTTTCTCCGATTGAGTGGCAAGTATCAAACACTCTGTTTTTCGGATCTGCAACTAAACATCACTATTAATCGAAGTACATTTGAATCATAAAATTAATATCATCAGATGAGTACATGGATGTTGAATCTGAGACATACCTGAATGATATTTCCATCGTCCGTAATTGGATTGCTACATATCCGCTTTATTTCCGAATAGTGATTTTCCAGTAGGCATCCCACATTTTCAATTACGTCGGTTATATTAAGGACCTTGCATGCCAAACAATGTGCTGTTCGTATATAAAACTAAGGATCAATTTCAAATATGAATCGTGAGACCAACATCATGGAATATAAATCTATGAAAAGTCTGGATATTGTTTTCAATGTTGAAAACGTAACTGAAACGCGATATATTTTTATAATTCATCAATTCATCAACTATCTCAATGAAGACGAGGCAGGCAGATAAACAATAATTTTCTCTGCAATGAGGAACACTGTATATACCTAACCCATCATGCGCCTACCTCCTTTGCAGAGAGGGTTTATAGACGCCGAGTTGGTACTCGCCCCTCGTGAGGGTACCTGTCGTGTATCCATAGAGACATCAAGGTGAATATCTGTCTTATCTGTTTTCTTGAGAATCTGGAAACGATATCAATATATCGCTTTCCGCACGAATAAGGATCTGAATTCTGTAAAGTATTCTCTGGCCATTTTTCATTGCGAATTCTTTGTTCGATTCGTCGTGACTGGATGGTTTTCTCCGATTCAGTGACAAGTATCAACATTTTGCTTCTCAGATCTGCAAATAAACATGACATCAAATATCGAAGTCCATACAAATTAATACTGATTTTCATGAGAGGCGGAACATAGATGTTGAATCTGAAACATACCTGAATAATATTTACAACAATCGTAACTGGAACGCGATATATTTTTGTAATTCATCAATTCATCAACTATCTCAATGAAAGACGAGGCAGGAAAATAAAATCTCTGCAATGATTATTTGAAGTATTTGGATAATAGGGTTTGATAATTCGTTTGTGACCATTTCAAAGAAATTTTGACGACTTCGAAATTTTCTCTGTGAAAATTAGCAGTTGCGGTACCTAGCATATAGCACAGTCAGCTATATACGGATTGACAAATTTTTCTCGGATTTGTTCTAATCGCATACATTTCTCACGAAAAATACGTAAATGTATAATATGAAAATGAATCAGAAGAGTACCTACTCTAAGATTTCTAGATGTATCGAGTTGTATCGGCTCAAAATACCTATCAGATTATACTATGGGGGGCGGGGGGGAGTCTATGACTAATGTTGATTATTCGGGGGAAAAAGATATATATAGTATACAAAATATATGATTGAGTATTGAACACAGATATACCTGACAGTATTATTTTCGAAAGTCTGATGATTTAAAAAAATTCAACCCAGGCTTAAAATGTAATCTTTTCCAAAATATCTAGATATGTTTTGTTAACTAGAAAGAAGAGGAAAATAATGAACAATGTGGTCTACTTTTCATAAGCGCGCATCCAAATTGACATTTATGTGCGAAAATGCAATGAGCACCTGAAAATATCTAAAATAATTGACAAATTGTTTTATGGAACGAAATCCATCGATAGTTCACCTAATTCGGCTCTACTCAAGTTGACATTTGAGACTGGTTATTTCTTTGTAATAAAATTGTGTTTTTTGAATAGCGAGTTCAATAAAAATTTTGTTTTTCAAATTTGATGCGCACTGTTAAAAAAAAGAAGTTTTTTGTTTTGCCTGAAGGCGGATCTGAATTCTAAACTCGATTCATATTTAGTTTCGATGAAAAATAAGAGTTGAAATTACTTACCAAGTATGAATCGATTATACACAGTGGTTCAGAAGTTATGACCTGACCATAGATGAAGATTTTGCCAAAATCAATATTACGTTCTGTATCACAGTTATTCAAGATGGTAAATTCTTAAAAGATACAGTTTCGATCAGGAAGCACGAAAATCAGAAGAAAGTATTCCTTGATCGGAGAAAATACAACAAACGGTACGAAACATACAGGGTATGTCACGACGAGCTTACACTATTTCTATATCGAGAATCAGTCGGAAGAAATCCATGAAAATATTCATGTGATCAGAATTCTGAAT